GATTTCTTCGCATCGGGCGCTTCTTCGGCAACCTCCCCTTTGAGGGCAGCGAGTTCTCTAGAGGTGACGATTGCTGTGGCGTGGCCATAGCACTCGACCTCGCACTCATAGGCGTGCTGGAAGGAGGTGCCGACGGTGATGACCCCGTGGGGGCCCGACATTTTCAGCTTGAGGTATGTGTAGTTGAGGATGGCCATGAACTTCACGTAGCATGGTCGTCCTAGGATGGCGTGGAAGGTTCCGGAGAACCCAACCACCTCGATGGTGAGGGTCACAGTCCTATAATTGAACTAATCCCCAAAGATAACAGGTAGATCAATGTGCCCGAGTGGCATGGCCTGTTTCCCGGGCACGATGCCATGGAAAGGTGCTCGGGTTGGGCGGAGGCACGTTCGGTCAACGCCCGTCTCGTCGAGCGTCTTGGCATACATGATGTTGAGGCCACTGCCCCCATCCATCAGCACTTTGGTGAGTCGCTTTGGGCCGACGATTAGGTCAACCACAAGCGGATATCTTCCTGGGTGCGGGATGGTATCCGGATGGTCGGTCCGATCGAAGGTTATAGCAGACTCCGAACACCGGAGGAAGGGAGGAGTGGCCGGTTGGGCCGTGTAGACTTCACGGCGTGTGACCTTCTAACGGCGTTTGGAGTCGTAGGCCGCTAATCCTCCAAAGATCATGAGGCAGCCAACTGGCGTTGGAAAGCCGTCATCCTTTTCCCCAGCATCGTCCATAGTGGAGGGAGGGTCTTTCCCCCTCTCCCCTTTGTTGGATCCTCCGGACAAGAACCGTCGCATGAGGCCGCAGTCCTTGAGCAGATGCTTAACGGGAAAGGCGTGGTTCAGGCACGACCCCTCGAGTAATTTTTCAAAGTGGTTCAGAGTGCCCTCCGCAGGCTTCCGACCACCCTTGCGGTCAGCAATGGCTACGAGCGAGTCCTCGCGCCGTTGCTTCTTATTCTTCCTTTTGGTGGAACGATTGGAGGTGCCTTCGTCGGCACCCTCGTCCCGCCTTGCCTTGCCCTTGAGGCGATCGAAGATCGCTCCGACCGCCTCTTCTCCTGAGGCGTGGCTGGTGGTGATGTCTAGGAGCTCCTTGGTGGTCCGTGGGCCCTTGCATCCTAGCTTATGAACCAAAGACTCGCAGGACGTCCCGAACAGAAAGGCTCCTATCACGTCGGCGTTGGCGACGTTGGGGAGCTCGTTGCACTATCGGGGGAAGCGCTGGATGTACCCACGGAGGGTCTCACCGGCCTTCTGATGGTAGTTCTTGAGGTCCCATGAATTCCCAGGGCACTTGTATGTGCCCAGGAAGTTTCCCACAAAGATCTCCTTCAAATCCGCCCAACTCTAGATTGCATTGGACGATAGGTGCTCCAACCACGCTCATGCCGAATCGGCCAAGAACAGTGGAAGGTTGCGGATAATGAAGTCGTCATTATCTGCACCACCGGCTTGACAAGCAAGCTGATAGTCTTCAAGCCAAAGTCCGGGGTTTGTCTCCCCAGAGTACTTAGGGATTGGTAGGTGGTCGGTACCTTGGCGGGAAAGCAGCGTTGAGGATGTGTCGGCCGAAGGCCTGAGCGCCTGGCAGGCCAAGGCTCGAGCTCTGGTCCTCGCCGCTGTCGTAGCGTCCGCCGCGATGAGGGTGATAGCCGCGGTGGGCTCCTTCTCTGTCCACGCAAGCGAGACCTGAGAGCCGAGATGAGGACGAGCACGCCCCATCCACTGGCCCCTGGCTCACCGCGCCGCTTCGCACAATGCCCAGGCCATGCCCCAATGACTCTCTAAACATACCTTGAAACACGGAACACTTGCAACATGAAACACTTGAATGCAACACACGTCTGAAGCAGATGAAACATTTGGAACATACCCTTGTAATATAACATGTGTGTGAAAACATATGCAACACCCAGACAAAACACTAGCAACTTACCATATGAAAACACTTATTACAACATAAGACCGGAATAGCTGAACCATTTCGATCATACTCTTGCAACATATGTGTGAAACATATGCAACATCCATATAAAAAATACTTGCAACACACGTCTAAAACAGATGAAACATTTTGAACAAATGGTTGCAACATGCCTCTGAAAAACTTTGCAACAAGCCTCCGAAACACTTTGCAACATATGCAACATCCCGATCTACTTTTGCAACATACCTCTGAAGTATCTGAAACACGTGAAACATACGCTTGCAACATGTCAGGCGCGACACTCTAGTGGGAGGCGGCAACCATGTTAGGCGCGTTGAGGAACTCGATAACCGCCTCAATGGGCATATCGGGGCTGGGAGATGGCGGAGCAAAGAGCGCCACGGGCTTGGCTGCCACGAGCTTCTTCTGCTGGGGCACTAGGGCTCGCGGAGCCTCGATGCGAGCGCGAAGTATGGCATGGCTGTGACGCCCTCACCGTCTCCAGCCGCAGGAGGAGGTGACGAGGAGGACACCTGCACCAGCTCTGGTGATGAGGGCAGGGGCGGGCGGTAGGAGCGACTCCAGTGGCACAGCCTAGCGTCGCGGAGGCAAGCGAGGGCCTCGGGCGGAGGAATTGGGGGTGGTCACCGCTGGAGAAGGCGAGCGGCGAGCAAGTGGTAGCGAACGCCGCGACGGCCGTGCTAGATGGGAATGTCGTCGTCTTTTTTATTTTGAGAAGCTTTGAGAAATAATGACAGAATAAAGGTAAAGGGAAGCAGGCCTATTGCGCTGGTAGTGCTAGGCCCATAAAGCGCAGCGTTTGGGCAGTCGGACGTCTGCACTGTAGCATTCCCGAAGAATCAATCCATCTTAAAAAAACCTTCAAAGATAAATATCGTAAACTGTTTTCAAGGGTCAGCGGTCAGTTACCCATAAAGGTCCCGTTCGGCTTACCTTATAATTCGCACTATTCAGCTTGTTTTTTCAGCCGGAACAATGTTTTTCTCTCACGACAATTCAGCCAGAACAATGTTTTCAGCCAATTCAGCCAAGTTTCAGCAAACCGAACGGGGCTAAAAGTGATTCTGTTACTTTTTAATGTGGTATACCTAAAGCCTCTCTTATCGGGTCCAAAGCCGGTACCATGGTGTCTTATTAGGCCTTCCGGTCCGGGCCATCAGAGTAGCAAAATCCGCTAGAATTCATTTTTACAGCGACAGCATCCATAATTTACATCATAGTAATATGTAATTAAACCTAAAAATGTTTTAAAGTGTCAGAATAATTGTACTTATATATATGACACGATCAAAGCAGTTGTAGTTAGTTCTTTTTTTTCAATAGAGTTGATCAAAGTGGCCACACAGTTGTACCGAGCTGTTCGTCTGATAAGCCGGCTGATGCTGTTTTGTTGTGAGAGAAAAATATTGTACTATGGCTGATAAGTCGGACTGATAAATTCAAGCGAACAGGGCAATCTACTCTACCAATCGCCACCGTCGAAGAAAGAATTTCGGTGACTAGATCTAGTTGAGCGGGCCACCGCACCAAGGAAGCTGGAGGATTGAGAGCAAGTGAGTGGTTGCGTGTGCGAGAAAGAATGTGGTCTAGGGTTAGAAGAGGGCTTATATACTTTTGTTGTAGGTTGCATCAGGCCCGGGTAGCATGACATGCCAAGAGGCCGGCCCAGGCATGGCCTTACATTTAGGGCATGGTGGGCATGTTTGGTTGGAAGCCTGGATGACTTGCCTAGAGAAAAGTGTTGCCTGAGAGTTGTCTGGAATTATGAGAGAATCTGCCTGGCCAGGCAAGTTGAGAGTTATTTGTTTGGTTAGATGCCTGGCCTGAGAAAGCTAATGAATAGAGATCATGTGTTTTCTTCTCTGCTGGTAATTAATTCATTTTCTTAATTAATAACACGTCAAATATACACAAATAAACATACGGTGACAAAATAAAAACAGATAAGTGATTTTTCTTAATTTATAATATGCTTAAATTAATGTGTTTTTTATTTATCTTTGTATAGTTAACATGTATTTTTATAATCTGATTAACCAAAATATATAATTTAGTAAATTGTTGTCACGCGTTTAATATTAGATAATCACGTTTAATAATATTAAATAGGAAATATATTGATAAATTATGTCTTTTAGTATAAATCATTGCTTTTATAAATAAATAATATAAAAACAAAAAAATAATTTTATTATTTTACTTGACAACTATTTACACATATAATTAAGGGACGGATATTATAAGGAAACATGGGAAGGTGTTTTGGTCACACCTTTATATCTTGATGGTGAGACAAAAAAAAACAAAATTAAATGACTACAACAAATAAAAAACAAGACAAAAAGTGCATTACCGTATTGATTTAGCCCAGGCAGCAGCGTGCTGTAGCCAGCGGTCATTTTCGGTGACCTGGCAGAGGGTGCCTCGCCTGGCCTAGACACGTTTCCAGGGCTCCATCCAAATGCACTCCATGCAGCATCCAGGCAGCTGTTTGCCCAGGCAAAATCAGTCCAGGGTGCAAACCAAACAAGCCCGGTGTGCCTGGGCCGGGCCAAACACTGAGCCATGGGCTATGCTGACGCACTTGGAAAATCATTCCCGTTGCACGTAACTTTGCGCGGAGAAAAAGAATAAATAGTATAAAAAAGGTTCCATGCAAATGTACAAGAGAGAAAGAATATATAAAATTGGTTAAAATAGTTTAGAAATAGTATAGGATTCCTGATGTAAGATTGTCTTTTATATTTTAGGAGTGAATTATTAGAAACTATTAGAGATAGTCATCTTTTTTTTTTCTCCCAATATATTTTAGAAGTTGGAAAATATGGATTTTTTAGAGCAAAATTTAGCACACTCTTGGAGATGCTCTTTACAACCATATAGTTTTAGGGAAGTATACATATGTTTGCAGCACGCTGGTTCTTAAAAAAAATACAATTTGCAATAAGCATATACAGATCTGGAGAATTTTGTAACGGTTGCATGTTATATCCCTCAACCCTCATGAGTCCCTTATTGATCAATCATCATGACCAATTGACCATCCAAGATCAAGCTTGAGATTTGACAAACAAAAGGGACTCCTCGTGCCGTTCATGCACCGCCGCCGTGGTGCTGCCGGTACTCCTCGTCCAGCGTGTAGTCCATGGCGATTCCTCGGCGACGGCCTGCTCTTCCTTCGTCCTCAGCCTGCGCTCTATCGCCTCGAGCGCCGGGACGCGGCTCTCGCCGCGCTCCAGCACCGCCCTCATCTCGCCCCAACGGTCGCCGTAGTAGTTGTGGAGGAACTCCCGGCACTCGGGGAGAGGGAACAGCGCCTCCAGCGAACGGTTGCCGCCGCCGCCGCCGCCACCGCCATGCGGGGTGGTACGAGTACGACTAGGACACAGCAGCTCCGTGACACGATCGCTCGTGGCCACCAGCTCCGAGTAGTAGGTCTGGAACTCCCACTCCTGCCGGAACCGCCGGACCTCGTCGTCCTGCTCCGGCTGCTGCTTTGCCACCGCCGCCGCCCCCGCGCTGGAGCTTTTACCTCCGCTGGCGGCGCGCCGGCGTGGTGGCTTCTTGTCATTGTCGCTGTACGCGTGCCGCGTGGTGGACACCGGCGCCGGCGCCGGCACCGAGCACCTGCGCCGCGGGCGCGCTGCCCGAGAACTCGCCGTTGCCACTGTGGTGCTTCTTGGCTCTGGACTGCGGCGCGTAGTCGTAGTCGTAGTCACGGCCCCGCTTCGCTGCTCCGCCGCCTGAGCTTTCACCGATGCGGTGGAGCGCGTGGAGTCCGCGGCCGGTGCCATCGTCGTCGCTGCGGCGCTTCTTGACGTTTCTCACCTCCAGCACGGCGATGACATGGTCGTGTTGCCGGCCGTAGTTGCCATCGTCGGCGCGAGGCTTCTTAGCATCGGGTATGCCGGCGGCCGCGGCGTGCGAGGAGGCCCCCGCCGCGCAGTTGCGCTGCTGTCGGGGGGCAATGGCAGCAGGGTCGTGTCGTCGGCCGTTGTTGCCATCGTCGTCGGCGCGAGGCTTCTTGTTAGCATCGGGCATGCCGGCGTGCGAGGCGGAGGCCGCCACCTCGCGACTGCGCTGCCGTGCCGGCGCCGGTCCACGCGCTTGCTGCAGCTTCCACTCCTCCTCCCCCGGGAGCCACACGGTGGCGAACGCGTGGAGCAGGCCGACGTGCGCCGGGCCGAACGCTCGCTTGGCCCTGTCGTAGATCTCGTCGGCGAACATGTCCTCGCTGCCTTGCGCCTCGGACAGCACGGCGAGGAACCTGCCATGGACCAACGTTTCGTGCACGCGCTTGACGAACGTTAACGCCCGGGCGGCGTCGGCCAACCGGAGGCCGCGGTCGACCCCATGGTGGTTTCGTGCTGCTGCGGCGACGTTTGGCGGCGCTTCCGGTGGAGCCGCCGCCGCCGCGGGGGTCTGGTGGGTGTCCCTTTCGCTCCTCCTGCGGCTGTGGCTGCTGCGGCGCGGCCTCGTCAAGGCGAGGCCTTCTTCCGCGGGGGCGTCCGCGTGGACATGCGCGGTGAACCTGCGGAGCACGTCGGGGTGGCCACGGAGGAGTTCCGCGGCACGGGACCCGACGGCGTCGGCGTCGCCGCCGTCCTTTCGCAATCCAGAGAGGAGCCTCGGGCGCTGCCACGAGCTCCGCCAGGATCTCGTCGGTGAAGGCCATGCTGTCGGTGATCTGTTTCCGCGAATACGCCGCCGCCGTCGGCTGCTGCTGACCCGCCATTGCCGGTGTTTGGTTTAGACAAGCCAACCGAGTGGTGGTTCTTCTTCAATCGTCTTGTTCAGATCTCCATTTAAAATGAGATGAGCAATGGCATGGATCGAAGAAATACTAGGTTAGTTGTTCTTGTTGGATCTGCCGAACCGAGGGAAGAGTCCGGTTGATGCACGATAGGCATACGTATATATAGTGCAAAACACAAGAGAGAGTCCGGTTGCTGCACGAGGACGATACGTCGATACATAATAGCTTGTTTTTTTTTTTTTTGACAACGAAATAGCTTGGGATTGGGGTGCTCGCCTGCTCGGTTTCGCACAGCAGGAAAGGAAACTGGACTGGGAAACAAAAGCCCGCAAGGTGAAGGTTCCGGGCCAGGCCACTCACATCTTCCGTGTTGGGCTGGTTTCGGATTGGATCGGATTTTAGGCACAACTTGTAGCCCTGGTTTAACTTAAGGCCTGTTTGAGACTGCTTTGTCACTCTACTAAGGGGTGTTTGGTCGGAGACTAAAGTTTAGTACCTATCACATTGGACATTCAGATGTTAATTAGGAGGACTAAACATAAGTTAATTATAAAACTAATTATATAGACGGAGACTAATTTACGAGATGAATCTATTAAGCCTAATCAATATATCATTAACACATATTTATTGTAGCATCACATTGTCAAATCATAGACTAATTAGGCTTAATAGATTCATCTCGCAAATTAGTCTCAATCTATGTAGTTAGTTTTGTAATTAATCTATATTTAATATTTTAAATTAATGTCAAAACATCCGATGTGACCGGACTAAAATTTAGTCCGAGAAACCAAACACCCCCCTAGTCACCATGGAAAACTAGAGATTCTCAAGTATATTCTTAGTGCTGCACAGAACAACTAGGATGTGCTTGGTTGCCAAATGGGGCTTGCATCGTATATCCAGATGAGAGCATTGAGGCTGAGTGAAACCATATTTGAGAGAAAGAGAATGTTTGGTCGCATGAGCAGAGAAAAAAAAAACTAGGAAGCTGTTTGGTTACCTGTACGAGCGGATGCAACTTGTATGACTTGTGATACTGACGTGTGGACCTCGCACCCATCCCTGCATCCACCGAGCCTGGATGGCCATTGAAGCTCGATTTAGGCTGCTCTTGGAGCAGTGAAAAAACAAAGATTCAAACAAGATTCTCTTGGAACGTATACGGCTAAGCGCACGGAAGTATGGTGGAAGCTAAATAACCAAACACACTCTGATGTTACTTCTTGACTCCACTTTTTTCTAGAGCGGAGCTTATGGAACTGTCTCTGTTTGGCCAGTAGTGAGGTTGAAAGCAGAGTTGAAAAAGATGAAGCATAGCCATTCCCTTAGTTGATGTTGCGGGTCTAAAATAATAGACCGAGCTTATCCGATGCACTAGTTGAATCGGCTTGGGCTGCAATTTTTCAGGTAGGCCAGAATTATTGACCACAGACTAAATACTTTCAGAAATTTTATGGTTAAAATGGATATCGATTCGAGCGATAGATAAAATGAGTAATTTGGTGGGGCAAATCCTTTTGCGAAAATTACATGTTCCAATAAGAATCACTGTGGAAAATAAAATACATCACCTCTTTATTGCATAATGAATGCATGATAAAGGCAGCTGCTTAATTCCAAGCATATTATTATTCATTAAAAACCTAGGAGTACACCACATGTATAAAAACATGAAGAAATTACATTTTCGTGGCTAACTAGTGTCTTGAGCTTTCGGCAATCATAAAATGCTATGTATGCATGCATAGACATCACTAGACAAGATGCAAAAGTCCTAAACACTATTTTGGACAGAATTGATATCAGTTTATGCAAATATGTCAGTAACATAACAGTGAAAAAACCAATCGAGACCGTTGTTGCTGATGGCACATGTTAGAGGAGACATGAGAGCCCTGTCGGTGAAAAGTGACACACCCCATTCAATATCTTCCTCGGCCTAGCTCTTCATGTGAAACGGGCTCACATGCGCATAATGTCTATCTTATATTTTCATTCTCATTTCGTGTAAAAAAAGGCTAATTCAGAGATGCTACTTTTGAAATGACAAGAATTAGCTGCCCAAATAATCTATTTGAACAACTAGAACACAACACATGGGTCACCAGAACGGGCCAAAACTAGAACACTTGTAATCTAAGGTGGTGTTTTATTTTGTAACTTCTCTAGTTAGCAGCAAACTATTTGGTCACTTAGTTTGTAAATAAAAGGATGGTTCAGATCGCGTGCAGGTGACAACTGGTTACTGTCAATGCAACACCAACAGGACCAAAACAACATAGCTGCTAGCAAACAATGATTGGCTAGCTAGCTAATCCTGCACTCAGCTTTATAGTTAAGACACAGCACATGGTATTATTTCTAAGACTGCTCAACATGCTGTACAATCTTCCACGTGGGATAGATAAAGGGTTCCTGTATACAATAGTCATGTATACAACTCAGCACAACCTTCCAATGTCCATACCCAAAGGATCCAGTTGTGTCTCACATGCATGCTCCAACTCAGCCCCAATGATGAAGGCCACCTTGAGGAAGAATGATCCGGCGTGTAATCATTTGGTAAACCATGACCAAACTGATGTGTGCATTGTTTCACATGCCAAGATACACACATGTGTGGTAAAGTCTCTTGAGTTGTTTAAGTTTTCGTCACCCCATTTCCTATTGTGTTCTCTTTTCACCCACTTAGTTTGTTCCTTTTAATGTCGTTGGAGATCATATATTGCCATCTTTGTGTGTGTTTGGGTTGGGGGCATATGCTAGAACTCATGCCTGTGGAAATTATAATCTCAAAGAAAAGGTGTGATGCAGACGTAACTAGCTCGCTAAATATTATATGATGTATTGCAACAATTATATCAAAAGTAGAGCATAGCCAAGTCTAACCATATTATAGGAAACATTTTCATCCATTTATTTTTAGTATCTACATTAGCCATTCAATCAGAATGCATGTCACCGATTACGTGCCCCTCTTCCCTGCCCACTCCAACCAAGCCGACGACTCTACTGTCCATTGAAGATACCTTGATTGTACGTCGTCATTTGTTATTAGTCACCTCGTTTTTGCTATCCTCCTCAATGCGTCCACGGTCAATGACATATCCGTCCCTCTCCACCACACCCTGATCCTGCCCTCCCCACTGGGCTGCCCTACTTTCTCCAAAGTCTCTTCTATTTGACAACCATTAGTCTTCTCACGAAACTTGCTAGGCTAAATCTCAGTTGATTTTCCGTGTTCGGCAATTTTGGAATATGAAATAAGAGTGTCCTATGAGTAGAATTATAGGATTATCGACAAAGATACCACAGCTTAATTGTGGCAAGCAATATGGTAGAACGAGTACACAAACGTTATTATAGCACATGGCAGGACCTTTCAAGAGCCAAGCTGTAAACCTGCACAGCAAAAACCTCCCTTGCTCATAAGCTTCGTCAGCCCCAGTCTCTCTACTCGTTCTATCTCCCTCCCCTCCCTCTCTGCTGCGCCAGCTCCGCTCTACTCCCCAATCCCAGGCGAATTCCTCGCCTCTCTCCACCGCGTGTCGGAGCTTCATCTTCTCCGGCTCCCCCGCCTTGATTCGCCGCTCCGCTCTCCCCACTTCCGCCGGAAAGGGGGGAAATTCATGGCGAGGCTAGTAAGTATGTCTGATCACTGTGTCTTGTCGAATCCTCCGTGCCGTGGGTTTCCTCCTCCGCAAAGGAGCCTCTTTTCTTGCTCGCCGTCGCCTCCTGTGAAATGGGTTCTCTGGGATTGTTGCTTGGTGCCGTGTTTCAGCTGGGGGGACGCGCCCGGGTCTCGATTCCCTCTGCTTCGTCACCCCAAATCGGGATCTTCCTGTGCACGCGTCCCTTGAGATCTTGCGATTAAACGCGCTGTTCTTGTTGCGAGTATTGATTGTGGAGCTTCCGTGCTGGATTCATGGGAACAGTGGTGGTACTGAGCACTGACCGGTTGCTTCGCTGTACTGCTGTGGTGGGTGTAGGTGGCTCTGGCATTGGCGGTGGCGGTGGCGGTCGCGGTACTCGGCCTCGCTCGTCGTGCGGAGGCGGAGCCACAGTGCGCGCGGCGCGGCCCGGCCGCGCCGCCGCGGCCGCACAGCGTGACGATCACCGAGTTCGGGGCCGTTGGTGACGGCGTCACCCTCAACACGGTGCCCTTCCAGAACGCCGTCTTCTACCTGCGCTCCTTCGCCGACAAGGGCGGCGCGCAGCTGTACGTTCCCAAGGGCCGGTGGCTCACCGGCAGCTTGAACCTCACCAGCCACCTCACCCTCTTCCTGGAGAGTGGCGCCGTCATCGTCGGCACCCAGGTTGTCCACTGTCCACCTCATTCTTGCAGTTGTCTTTTCTCTCTTCATCAGCATGAGCATTTTGCTGTGTCATTGGTTGGATGGATTGGATGATGGAGTGGACTCCAATTCCGTTCCGTAGATTTGTGTACCACACCTACTATTTCTGTTTTTGCATCGTCAGTAGGTGTTCCATCAATTCTCCTACTCCATCTACATGCACATAGGCTGAAATAGATGGGGTATTGCTGCATGATTTCTGGTTTACCTATCGTTTTCGATTGCATTTGCATTGAGAGTTGCTAGCGACGCAAGTAGTTCTAGTGTCCAGCTCATGTCATCATTTGTTTGTTTGGATATGGTTGGTGGAAGATGTCCTCTGGAGTGAAATTTTTCCAGCCTTCCTGGTAAGTGTCATTGGTGAGGCTTCTATTTCCATGAATCTATGATTTTACCTGGAAAATATTTTGCTTGGGAGTGAGATACATGTTTTGGTCTTCCATGTTTTCGTGAAGTACTACAACATTCCATATTCTTTCGGATCTTTGCTAGTGCAGTGATATGCGACTTTGCTAATCAACAGGAGTGTTGGATGGTGACACGTAGCTATCGATGTGAGGGCAGTAGCTAAGGAAAGACAAATAACATTTGCATTGATTTGAAGTCAAGCTGCTTTCT